TATTCCATAAAGGGTTATAAACGCATCCTTGCTTTAACTGAACCCCATCTTGAGAGAAACCAACCGGTAGGGCACTAGGGTGCTACATGGTTTATCCCCAAGAAACTGGCTAGCAACAAGTATCAAAGTATTAACCTCCTGGGAGTCACACAGTGACTGGGCAAGATCAAAATACCTGTACTTGGTGTGGTAGAAATGGTAGGCTTAGGGAACTCAGTGACACAAAATATCAAAGCCTAGTTTAACAAACTTGGGCCTCCTCTGTATCAGTAAAAAAAAGGTTCTGCCAACACAGCTAAGTATTAGTCCTTTTAAACGCCTAATATTTTATAACTGGTTGTGAGGGCAACTAGAGGAACTTGAAAAATAAAGAACTGGTAGAGAAAACCAAACATGTCAGAATTGCGATTACAAATAATTACTCGTAAATACTACAAATGGATACCTAAGAGGTAAGCTCCTATTTGGTCGTGGTTTTCAGAATTTAGTGCAGAAAAACACAACAGAACCTGATACTTGGCTACCTAGACCCAACGAAGAAAGATTTCTCTTTCAGGGGCACATACATTAAAAAAAAAATCTGTGCATAATAAATCAGAGCTCTCCCACTCTGCCTCTCCATCCTCAAATACCTATAAATCCGTTACCAACCTAGTTGATCTCTGGCTTACCTTCTCTCCTTTCCTTAAGTCCCAGACGAAAACATGTTCGCAGGCCGGTACCGCCACGTAGCGTCCTTTTTCACCACGAAGGGTCACAAAGACAATATTACCTTTTTGGCTGCCAATGACGCCAAAGACCGCACTGGCAACATAGCGTAGGTACTGCTTCGTGAGCCCCATGTTAGAACATCTGAAACTGCGAGTGAGGCGGCTGTGCACACACACAAAGAAAAGTCAGCTCCTTGGGTACCTTGCTTCTGCTAGGCTAGCAAACACCACCGTGTATCATGTGATTAAAACTTGTAACTTGTGGGGCGCCTGGGTGGCTCAGTCGTCAAGCGTCTGCCTTCGGCTCAGGTCGTGATCCCGGGGTCCTGGGATCGAGCCCCACATCGGGCTCCCTGCTTGGCTCCCTCTCCCACTCCCCCTGCTTGTGTTCCTGCTCTCGCTGTCTCTCTCGTCAAATAAATAAATAAAATCTTTAAAAAAA